CCCCCTTTTAAATGTTTCCCCCCTCTTTTATCAAATGTCTTTGCCTGGGGTATCTTGATTTATCACTTCAAAAGTTTCCCCCCCCCCACTTATTTAATTGGCCTCTCAGAGTTGGTAAGACAACTCCCACCTGTTCATGCTCTCTGTGTGTATACATATCTTCTCAACATATGTTCCATTCTATATGCATCCGAAGAAGTGGGCTGTAGCCCACGAAAGCTTATGCTCTAATAAATTTGTTAGTCTCTAAGGTGCCACAAGTACTCCTGTTCTTTTTGCGGATACGGACTAACACGGCTGCTCCTTTGATAAAAACTGGGGTATTTAATAGCAGGAACCTGCATTAAACAGTTCATTTTCTACGTACTCGGTCTGCCTGATCCCTGGAGGGGGGACTGGCCATGGTAACGTGAGGCTATTTCCAGGATTTCTTCTGCTGCAAGGTTAAAGAAAAGAAACATGATTATTAAGCCTTTCAAGATAAGCGATACTAAGTATACAGAACTAGGCTGGACAACCAGGAGTGTAAGAAGCAAACCTCCCCCAGGAGATGTGCCACTAGGCAGGAGCAAGCAGGTATTTCCCGAGGGAATAACGCCCCCCCCCCAATCAGTCTGCATCAAGCAGGCTCAAGGTACAAGGGCCCCAGGGTTCCAGGCTGGTGGCACTGGGGTGCAGGGCAGAGTCCCACACAGCTACCATGCTCAAGGCCCACCGCAGGAGCCTGCCTACAGAGCCACTGGGGGAAGGAGTGTGTGTGGGGGGAGCCCACGCGCCCGGCCCTAGACATTCCCCCCCTCGGGGGAGGGAGCCCACGCGCCCGGCCCCTCCACGCTCCCCCTCAGGACCGCTACCTCCTGCGCGGGTCCCCACCACAGAGCCCCCTCAACGCGGGCCCCACGCCCTCGGGGGACCCCACCAGCACGGACCGCCCCCCCCGCACCTGACACGCCTCTGCAAGTTGAGTCCAAACGACAGGCCACGACGTGGGTACACCCCGTTCCTAAACAGCCCCCTCCCTGCCTTGGTACAGTCTAGTAGGACATCAAAGATGGCAACCTCCATCTATTTACCTATCTAGGCTGAGTGGCGGAGCACCGTCTCTATGGTAACAGCCCAGAACATTCGGCGGTGGAAAGTAGACCACGACTTACCTATCAATGTGCGCATGCACAGAAGACCTAGCGAAGGGGGTCTATCAGCGCATGCGCATTATTGGCGGCCTCGACTGGGGGAGCATTTTTAGCGCATGCGTAAGAGCTTAGGCTAGGTCGGGCCGGGTGGGCGTGTCCTGCAGAGCTGCGGCGGGCGGAACTATTCGGCGCATGCGCCCTGCGTTCCGTCCTCTCTTTGTTCAGGGTTGGGCGCCATTTTGCGCGGCGGCTGAGTGGAGGCGCTGATTGGGTTTCGGGGGCCGGTGGCGGAGCCAATCAGAGCGGGACCCGAACCGGGGGAGCGAGGCACGGTGAGTGCGAGCAGCCAATATGGAGCCCCCGAGCGCCGGCCCTAGCGCCGGGATTGGCGGGGCCGAGTGACCAGTCAGGAGGCCGCTCGCAGGGCCGGCTGGCCGGGCACTGGGGGAGCGGAGGGACGGGGCTCGTGCTGCTGGGCCTGGGACGGGCGCGCCGCGTGCGGAGAGGCCACCGGGGGAGCAGCAGAGGCGGGAGCAGGGCCTGGGGTCGCCGCCCGGGCTGGAGGGGGCGGCCGGGGTCTGCCCTCGGGGGGAGAGGGAGGGGCCCGGCTCTGGGCCATTGCCCGGGTGGGGACTCTGCCCCGGGGAGCTCTGTGCAGAGAGAAGGGGCCGCCATGAAGGGAGCCGCCACTGCGCGGGCCCCGCCCTCGGCGAACCGGGGAGGGGCTCGAGCCCCGCTGGCTTTTCTGGCCCATGGGCCTCGCGGTGTGCGCGGGCCCGGGCCACCCGTCCTCCCCCTTCGCGGAGCGGAGACCAGCTGCGTGTGGCCCCGCGGGGGAGAGCTACTGAGCAGGCTGCAGCCCGCGCCTGGGCGGGGGGAGCGGTCAGCCCCCCCGCCCCCCGTGGGTCCACCCCCCGTGCAGCTGTGGCCAGTATGAGAGGCACGACCCTGTGTGCATCCCGCCTCCCCCAGGGATTTAGGACCCTTTATGCACCTCATCCCCGACCCCACAGTACAGAGCAGCCCGGCCCACGGTCCCCGAGGAGAGCTGTGCAGTTAAAAACCGCTCTGGTGAGCAGTTAGGAATTTGTCTCTCCCTTCCCCATAGAGGGGCTGCCTGCCATTTCCTTCCCCTCATCAGCACTGAGTGCTCTGTGGGCTAAGAAAATCCTGCTGTCAGCAGCTCACCACAAACGTACATTCTAGACAAATGGCACATAATGCTCAACTGGACTGAAAATCTCTAGATGCATACACGGACTCGCAGGTTCCAGATGAGGTTAATAATGAAAACTGGCCTCCGCGTCTCTATTGCTGCTGAATAACACAGTATGACTCTCCTGAGCTGTTATTTTTGGCTGAATTCTTTCTTTGACTTTCACTGATGCACTTTGGGGAGAGTGGATGTGATTAGTCATGTATGTTCTTACTGAAGTACAGGATGAGGTATAACTGCTTTCATTTTTATACTTAAACCATGTTGACGCTAGAAACTTTTGCTGGTATGGTAATGTCGCTTAAGTGTGGTGGGGTTTTTACAAGCAACATTTTTATATGGGCAAATGTCCTAGTGTAGATGCGGTTATACTATCAAAAGAACTTTTTGCCAGTATAGCTTATTTCACTCAGAGAACTGGCATATAAACTATACCAGCAAAAGCGTGCTTTTGCCAGCATAAACTGCATCTACACTGGGAGGTTCTGTTGGTATAGTTATACCAACCAACTATTTCTAGTGTAGAAAGTACCTTAGTTTCAAGTTATACAGGATTTGTGACCAGTCAGACCAGCAGTTTGAAGGAGGGGCATGCAGCATAGTACAGAATCATTAATTTTTAAAAATTCTGGTTTGAGAAAATTCTCTCCGTGTCTTCTTATGAGGCAACAAAATGTTAAATGATTGTCTATGGACAAATAAGCTGTATTTAAAAAACAAAAAAAGTAGTCTTTTCCCCCCTACTGCTTCCCCTCCTCAGTATATCTTCTGTCCTCGCCATCGATGGAGTCATGATCCTGCATGTCTAAAATCTCATTCTCTTCTCTTATTCTGACCCCCCAAAAAGCTGGATTGAGAAGAAATTTCCCAGAACTTCAGGTGTGGAAGAAGGGGCGCCTGGCATTTGGGTCTTAGAGTATTCATGACTAATAGGTCTCTGCTTAAAGGTTGTTGAGTAGAGGAAATCAAGGAACTTTTTGCTAGTATGTGCTTGGCTTACATGCTATATAATAGGCTGGCACCCTGCACTCACTGCTGAAATGCTGCCTTGAAGGATGGAATGTGGGAGCTGTTTCATGTGATACTGCACAAGCATTTAGGACAGAAGTGAAGAATACTGTATGCGGTTGAAACTAGAGGGAGAACTTTTGGTAGGCAGAATGTAACTAACAACTAGAAATTATTTTTATCAGTATTAATGATTATACTCTTGCAAAATGGGATGGGAATTTTTCCTGGCCATGTAATCAGGATTTCAGCATTACATTTTAAGCAGAAGACCGGTCTCCTAAACAGACTTTGAAGTCACAGTGCCACTGGTCATGTTGCCACCACCACTTCTTGCAATGTCCTGGATTTTTCTTAGTTTCCTATCCAAGATACTGATCAAGCCAAACCCTGTTTAGTTCATGAGATCAGAAAAGCACACGGCCTGAGGTGGTCTGACTTGGCACCATAAAAGATATTACCTCACCCACCTTGTCTCTCTAAATGGGCCAAGGACAGATAAAGTTACAGTTGCAGCACAATGTTGTATCTTTCTGTGCTATGACTCAAATTTTTGCTCTGATCAGAGCGGGTAGTTGTATTTCTTAATTCCAAACAAAGCTTTTGGCAGAGGGAATAAGCAAATGGTTACCACATTTAGGCCATGTAGTCTGTCTGCTGCATACTGCGCATTGTTTTTTTGTTGGCCTGATGCATGTTGATTACATTCATTTGACTGAGCTAACAATCTTCGAAGTAATCAATGTATTTTGAAAGATGAGTAAATCAATTAAAAGCCTTTTTGCAATGATCTTTATGATAAATACAAAACAGTTCATGCATATTAGGTTGCAAAGATAAACATAAAGGCCAGGAATTACAACGTTTTAAGTCTTCGTTGCAATGTTAACTGACTCACGTTACACATGTTGTAGCAACATCTGTCCTAGGATATTAGTGAGACAAGGTGGGTGAGTTAAACTTCTGTTTGGTGAAAGCGATGAGCTTTTGAGCTTAGAGCTCCTTCTTCAGGTCTGGAATCTAACTGAAGGTAGAGCTCTGGGTAGCTCAAAAGCTTGTTTCTCTCGCCAACAGAAGTTGGTCCAATAAAAGATATTACCTCACCCACCTTGTCTCTTACATTACACAGCCAGTTGAAGTCAGTGGGTGTTGTGACTAAATCCTGTGCAGATATCAAATCTAATTCCTTTATTTTTCTTTTTAAAGTTGATGAAAAATTTAGGCTGGCTTTGAACCTGGATAGCAGTGACTTGTTCAATGGTAGAGTAGAACAAATGCTTCATTACAGGTGAAGATCAGAATTCCTCATTTGCTAATCAACTAGGAAAGGAAGAAATGGAGATAAGAATAAAGAGAGCTGTGGAATGAATGGTTTTACTTCAGCCTTTTCTCCCCTGTGCATTGGAGTGAGGGATCAGGATAAGGAGAGAGATGGGAGAAGCCATCTGTTTTCAAGTTAAAAGAGAAGCAGGAAAAGAAATGGGGAAAACTTCATTCCTAAGAGCACAGGGTATTTCAGTCCCTCTTGTTACATCATTGTCTAACTGAAAATCTATGAAATTCTTGCGATGTAGTTTGGTGTTCAGGTGATGTTTAAAATGAACTTTTCAGCACTGCAATGTTTTATTTATTAATTATAATTAGTGTATATTGTGGTAGTGCATTGAGGACCCAACTGAGATCGAGTCCCCCATGCACAAAGTGCTATCTATACATATAGTAAGATACAGTCCCTGGCCAAGAGTTTACAATCTAAACTAACAAGACAGACAAATGGTAGTAGGGGAAACAGGCACGGGAGAGGTGGAATAATTTGCCCAAGATCAGCAGCAGAACTGGGAATAGAACCCTGTTCTGAATCCCAGTCTTCTGCCCAAGCTGTTGGACGATGCTGCCTCTTTTTACACATGAGTTTTAGGAAAATACTTAATTTTAACATTAAAATATGTTGTCTCTTACTACAAATGCAAATGACACAGGGTAGGTCCTTTACTTGAAGCAATGGTGTTCTGACTGTTAAGGCGTGTCATCTAAATGTCATTAGATGGCTTGTTTTCCAGCTACTGTAAACTGATCCTGATCTTGAGCCATTGAGGCAGTAATGATGCATTTTTTATTGTCTTGTCAGATATCCAGACTGAGGTGCATTGGGCACAAGATTGGAACTGAGACACTATGGAGCAGTACACAGCAAACAGCAACAGTTCCACAGAACAGATCGTCGTGCAAGCTGGACAGATTCAGCAGCAGGTATGGAAAAATTATCTTAGAGTGAGCTAGAGGTCCCGATATTTGGTCATAAGGCATGTCATGCTCTCTACAGTTCGACCAGGCCATCAAGTTGCTGAGTGAGAGTGACTGGATGCATGGCTGGTTGACTGTCTTATCCCTTGATCAGCAGTTTCATTCTGTCATTGACGTGTGCTTGAATATTAGCATTTCTAATCTATATTAAATGAAATAATAGAAACAACTGATACATACGATGCAAAGTTGAATTAGATTAGGGACTTTACCCTTTAATTCTGACACGAACAAAAATAATAAAAATTTAGTGAAGATCTTAAATGAAACAAAATGTAAATTTGAGCACTTAATGTTCACAAACAGTTGTTTATCTTCAAGGGTTGAAACAGGATGGTCTCAAGCAAATTTTGAGAATTTCTCCAGCTTTCCTTTAACAATCATGTTCATGTGAATCACTTTTTCTGCTCCCACTGAAAGAT